TTTTGTACCTTTTTCATACTGGATATGTAAATGAAATTCTAGCAGGATTCTTTGTAACTTGTATCACTTCTTTTTTCCTTTAATCTCCATTTTTTAATTGGAGCAAAGAACAACGAGCTGAACAGATTTATCGAAGAGATATGTAATTCTTTTAAATTAAGTTCTAAATTAAGTAATAATGTTCTAATCAGTTCTGTAGCAATAATAAGGATTTTCTGTCATTAAATGTTGAAGCCCAAGCTCTCAGGAGACCAAATGTTCTGTGTATGCTAGACATAAGACTGGACAGAAACTTTCAGCACAGGATGATTGGCATACACTGCATGGACCTAAATGTAGGATAACAGAGTGACTCAAGAACAGTCCTGAAGTTAGCTACAGAGTTTTTCAATTGATTAGGTGATTCTAAGCAGGTGCAATTGAGTTTTTCCTGGGAAAAGAGTTTCAGCAAGGTAGTGGTTTCTTAAATATTCTTCATTTTTGCTATACTGCATTATGGCACATGTGGAAATGCCTGTGTTTTCAAAAGTCAACTAAAGTGTTGAGATTCTGTCCTTGCATAATCTCTCTACTTTTCACCACTCAGCTCAGTGGTTTTAGAAGCTCAGTAGAGAAAGTATAAAGGTCTACTTTTTCATTCCTCTGACACTTGCTCTTGGTTTTTACTAGGCTGTTCAGGCATAACACATGCAGAATTCTGATTGGGTGAGGTGCACATTTACTTGTAAATGTAGTTCCTAAACATGGAAATATATATTTTAAATGTGATTATTTGAAGCCAATTAATTTACTGATGTTTTTTCTTTCTGCCATGATGTTCCATTTTTTCATTGGGCTTAGCAGTTAAAATGTCATTTGAACTGAATTACTTAATAACAAGAATTTGTTTAAAAACTAGTTTATCCAGAAGGACTTGCATATTTGCCTGAAAGCAGAGGTAAGTATTTGGAATGCTGGTGTAACTTTTTACATTTCATTTCTAGGCCTTTATTAGACGCTGTTTAGCATACCGAAAAGAGGATAGATTTGATGTCCACCAGCTGGCTAATGATCCTTATCTTCTCCCTCACATGAGGAGATCGAATTCTTCAGGAAACTTGCACATGACTGGGCTAGCAGCATCCCCTACACCACCTACTTCAAGCATTATTTCGTACTGAAGTTTCTCCAGCCGAGGAATGGGATGATACCTTTGTGTAGTTTCCTGATGCAGACTTGAGCTTGAAAGCATTTGAGTGTTTTTACACAGGACAAGTTTGATAACTGTGTTTTCAGACTGAAGTCCTCCTACATAGTGTCATTTGTATGATTGGAATGGATCATGGACTGTGAATAAATGTACCCTTCTGAGAAACACCGTTAAACATTGAAGGATGACACTTCCTGTTACAACTAGCAGGTATACTGTGTTTAAGACTGAAGAAAAGGTTTTTAGTTTTTTTCTGGGGAACATTGTAAATAATCTTTTTAATACTTAAAATACATTTGGTGGATACTGGAAAGTTCTAACATGAAGGGTAGTTTTTCATTATTTAAATCTAAAAGAGTAGTGAGTAAATTTGAAAACACAGGAAAAATTTCGTGCCTGGTCATAAACTAAATGAACTGCCATCTTTCCAAGACACTGATCTTTTGAAACCAAAGTAAGGAGTGTGAGACAGTGAAAGATGTTCTGTATCAGATTTCTCAGTTAAAAGTAGAGTATTTTATTTGGCAACTCAGGCTTGTACCTCCAAAAATGTGGTGGTGTTTCATGAATTTAGATTGGAAGGGTGATATGAAATTCCTGGTACTTACTTCTCAAATAGATTGCTAATTTTGAAATCCATTCAGTTTTCTAAAAATACTACACTTGCTGTGGTATCAAAACTTGTGAAACCTTCCAGGCTTCTAATAAAAGCAAGCAACAGTATGAAACCAAATGCAAACAGGTCATGTATAATGTTCTATGCAGGAATAATGATAAATTCCCTTCTAGCTCTATTGTAAATTGTTGTACAGATGTCACATTTTCAGTTAAATTTCAGCAACTTATTCCTGTACAAATGTTTAAAGTATGGCTTTTTCTAATTGGATATTGTATTTTTTTTAAGTCTCCCTCAAGGCGCTTTTAATTGCTGCTAAATGATGTTGCTTTTACTTTTACAAAAGAATCAAATGACCTCCTTAAGGTGCAAGTCAACTGTACGTGTCAGAGAGATTGAGAGTAGGCAATCTGTTAACAATCAAGGCATGTCAAACAGATCTGTGTTGGCAATATACAGTACAGTTCTTTAACTCAGTTTATTGCGTTCTCAACCTGCAGAGCGCATTGATACTAGATGTAGAAGTTGCTCATGGTTATTCTCTATTTCTGGAAGTTCCTATCAACAAGGAAATGTTTCTTGTGGCTTGTACAGATATTTTAAAATGTGAAACATTTTCTAACTGCCTTGTATGGTAGAAACTTATTTTTCAGAACAGTGTATCTCTCTCCTGTTCACTATTCTTTTTACTATCCCATTCTTGATGCTGAATACCTATATGTAATTTTGTCCATGTTGCAGGAAGAGGAGGCTGTATTACCACAGGTTTTCATTTAGTATTGTACAGTTAAACTGTTGCTCTTGTTTCTGATGTTGCAAGCCATTTTGTTTTCATTGTATATAAAGAAACGTTAACTGTCTCTTTAAGATGCTGCTGAAATTGTAGAGAATGTAGCCAAAACAGTAATAAACAATGGCAGTTGAAATTTCAAAGTTTTCATGGTGTGTTTTTACATTTCAACAGAGGGCAAATCACATAACTGTATCACTGAGCTGCTCTTAATTATTTAAAGCACACTCTTTGTAATTACAAACAAAAGGCCAGTAATACAATAATTAAGTAACATTGGAGGTGAAAGGGGAGGATTCCATGAAACTTAAAACATCTGTTGTAATGAAACTTCATTTCACTGAATAGATCTCACAGAAACAACTCTTAAGTATGTCAGTGATCCTTCTTTAATTCTTGAGCTGTGGAATAAAATTAGTTTATAGAATGACTAGAAAATTAGACTCAAATAGACAACTGGCACTGCATCCTTTTCACTCTGTATGGCACGAGACAGAGTGCAGAGTGTGAGGAGAATGCTATAACTGTAAGCTCACATTAGATTTTATTCCATCTTATTCTGCACGTGTCACTAACAGAATTTAAATCAACTGTTTTGCCTAAGGAAAATATGTACAATTGTGTGACTATTTTTATTTCTCTGGAATGTGGTATGGTTACCCTTGGAAAAGGTAAGTTATGCAATGTATCAGAGAACTACTTAAGTAACTGAGAATTTTACAGCTACCTAAAACTAAGAAGGTTTATATACAGTGTTGCTTTTTCTGTGGTTAGGATCTGGGAATAGGCTGTTGTGGCTAAGTACATGACATTTGCTTCAGCTTTACAAATGCATTTTTCTGAAACCTAAACACCCTCTTTAGAAAAAGCTTCCTACAGATAAAAAAAGAGTCACCATCTCCTCTTTTGAATCAAAGTTTGAGGTTTTACCTCCCAATACGCACAGTTGTGTTTGTTTTAACATCTTGCAGTACTGTTAATGAAAATTTTGTATCCCCATATGTAGTCATTCTGTGGTCACAGGAAGATGTCTGAGTTTGTGTGTTTGGTGACTGCCATTCAGCAAGTTGTGCTTGGGATAGAAGTACCCTTGAGGCTGAGTCTAGAAGCCTGAGTTACTGGAGGAGTTCTGGATCACTTCTAGGTAATTCATGTATCAGCTGTTCAGTCTGTATTTTACGCTCATTTTACTGATTTCACTGTGTATCATCCATCACTAGGTTTCCTAAACTTTCTCCTGATTTAATGACAGGTAGACAGAAGAAACTAAGTTAAACTTCATCACACAGTTTTTAATGAATCTTGGAAATAAAAAGCTTCCTTTATTTTAAATTCATGAATACTTTAAATGTCTACATTTAATGGAAGATTGTAAAATATTGCATTGCCGTATAATTAAGAAAAACCCTTTTACATATGAAACGGGTGACTGTGAGAGAAATTCTGCACTTGTAACTGATTGTAGTGCTACAGGTCCTTGCAGCCAGAGTTAACGTTGGTTGGCTTGTGCCTGGAAAGCAACTGTGTTTTGGCACTATTTTATTTTACTTATATTAGCACTGAATTTGTTCAGATTTCACTGTGGAGCACTATTCAGTTTGAACTTGGTCTACACCAGTTGATAGATACCAGTTCCATGGAGGGTGGTTAATATTTTAATTTTCTGAAAAATGCTTTTAGTGCTCCCAAGTAGTCAGGAAGAGCATCATGGCAGCTGTGTGCTTGCCCAGGCACTGCTGACCACGCCTGGCCAAGTGGAGCTCTGTACTGCTGGGACCCCCATGGCAGCCCAAGCAGGTGACTGCGTGTTTTAAAATCAGCAACCCTGGAAAGGAAAGCATGTCCTGGAATTTGAAGCAACCTGAGTGCTCCTGCTCCAGCTCTGATGTCTCCCCGAATGTGAGAAAACCAGGCGTTTTTCTCTGAAGGCAGAAAGGGGGACCACCAGCCTGACTGGTTCTTTCTTCCCTATCCCACAGTTCTCGCAGCCAAGTGGGACATGACACATCCAGCCTGGGGAGGGGATGTAGGTCCCCAACAGCGCTGCTGCTTCAGCCTTGCTCTGGATTTCAACTTTACCTGGGCTGGAGCTGCTGCTGTTGGTGCAGAAGAGCCCACAGCACAACAGGGCCCAAGCTGGGCAGGTCAGTGGTGCCCCTGCTGCTGTGTTGTGTAGCAGAGTGGGACACTGAGGGAAGGAGCCTCCCAGGAGGTGAGAAGTGTCTTTGGGTCATTTATTTTTCTTCAAAACGCCCTGAGGACTTGCTGCTCTTTTCCAGAAGTGGAACATTGCATTGGGAAGGTTGACTGGAGAACCTGATCTGGGGGAGGCGGAGAAGGCCTGGGCAGAGTGTCAGGATAGGGACGGCCTCAAAATTTAGAGGAACCATGTTTAGAGAGTTTCCTTATACTTTCTAAAACACTTCCATCTTGCAACTGATGTTAAAAAATACTTTTTTCTACATGCCAGCTACAGTCAGAAGGAGGACTCTGGTTTCATTGGCAAGGGGTGTCGGGCGGCATGGCCTGACTGTGTTTCCCATGCACAGCCCCACACTCCGTGAGCCAGCCAGCCCAACGTGTCGCTCTGCCACCACATCATGGGCAGCAGGGCACTGTCGCATCCCATCGTGATCCTGCCATGGGCTTCAGGGTGTGAATACCCTTCCTGAGGCCTGGAGCATACCCAGCTCCAGGCAGCCATGGACTGTAGAGTTGAGGACTGTGTTGTGTTTGTAGGAAAGGTAAGACTGCAAATATTTTCAGAGAAATTTTGAATAATCCAACAGTTTCATGTCTTCGTGACCACAGATTGGTGAAAGGAGTCTAATGATAGGGAAACTTGCTGTTGGAGAAATTAGTTTTTTCTAAGTAATCAAGTCGCCTTGCTATCTTTTCATTGTGCTCTGTTTCCCAAGCCAGTAAAATTCTGTGCATATGTCAAGGAAAAATGCTTTCCTTAGAAATCTCATTTTGTATCTAGTGTCTTGAGAGCTAATCAGGTATCATTAAGAAATTATGTGATGTTTGAATTTCAGAATTGTGCAGATATGTGAATATCTTCTGCTCTGCAGAAGCATGCACAGGGACTTTGTCTTTGAAGAGTGAAGGAGATCAAAAGCACATTTCGTATATCCTCAGAGGATGTGCTGCCATCAGACCAGCAGGTCAGCTAGCAAAGTGAAGTGTTTTCTTGCTCTTGTATGGAAGCTATGCCATAGTATTTAGCGGAGCAGAACTCTCCAGACCAATGAAAAAGCATTTCCTGGGAACAGAATGCCATAGCTTCGTCTCCAAGCCCCTGTTCCATTATTGTTTCTGTTGTTGGGCTGTTGTATTCCCAGTGTTAAAAACAAGCAGTCCCTGGACATCACCCTTGTGTTTGCTGTTACTCTTGGGAAACCTGTTTACCCATGTGCAGGGTTTGAATCAGCTTTGCAGCTGGCCTGGGGTTCTGGCTTCCTGTTATTTTTAGTATTGATGTATGAGGGAGTTGTGCAATTGTCTTCTCCAAGGCTCGAAGGACAGTCCTTAGCAGAGTCTCTGTCTTCAGTAAGGTCTGGGAGCAGCAGCTACAGCTCAGAGAGGCATAAGCACTATCCAGTGCTTCAGAGCTTAGAAGTGCCTGTCAGTACCTTGCTGAATCAATATCCTAGTTTATTTCCGATGCTGAAATACTGAAATATTTATAATTCTGGACAGATTGAGGCTTTGTGCACTCTCAAAACAACTTTTTCTAAATATTGTTCACTACTAGAGAACTATGATAGCTTAAAATATCAACGGTGTGCAACTTTATGAAAGACCATGTATTATGTTAAATACATTGACTGTATGTACAAGCATGGGGTTGGTTTTTTTATGATTCATATGAAGGGATAAAAGTGCCACACACATCTACAAGTCAATGGCCTTTATATAATATATGCAAAGATTGTATTTCACAGTGTAGCATTCCTAGGTAAAATCTGGCAATATGTGTCTTCTGTTGCCCAAATGACTTTTAACCTAAATTTATACAGTTTCTGCACACCTTTCACTGCAATGGAATAACTGGAACTGGGGCTTGTAGAGAAAGAGACCCTGTACTTAAATAGGTATCTTTTATCTCTCAGACACTGGCCCTGCAACTTCTAGGACAGCTAGGCTGGGACCGTGCCCAGGAGTACTCCAGGTATGTCACCATGCAGCCACAGTATGTGATGCATGGAAAATGCATTCCTAAAATGTGCAGTACTTAACAATTGGATAGATAGCAAAGATTCCTGTAAGAATCAGTGTAATAGTGGGGTGATGTGTGCAGCGCCTTGAGAAACACTGTTTGAATACACAGGAATGTATTTTGCATTGTGACCTCTATCCTATTAATGCTTCCAGAAAAGAGTTCTCTAAATGCAAGACAAAAACAGGAGAGATGGTTTCTTGTGTTTTGTGGCTTAACTTTTTGGGACACTCTTGACTTTAGCAGGCCTGGAAGGAAAGCTAGAAAAGGGAACTGATTCCCCATTAGCATTGATGAAAGCTTTGCAGGACAGAGCACCAAGAACTGCATCGCTTTGTGCATGTGAGCAGATCCAGTATATCTTCACTTGCCTTCATTGGTAAAACAGTGGTTTCCACCAAACCAATGGAACTAGCAAGGATTTAAAGGACTCGAAGTAAAACATCCCCCATGCTCTCAGAATTCTGCTATCGACCCCCTCTGCCCTTGGGCTTAGCACGGCAGAGGAACAGGACCTGCCAAATGGTCCCATACATGGGGCTGACTTAGTGAGATGGTGCAGCTTCTTTCATTCTTCTGGATTTGTCCCTCTAAACAGCCACATGAAGAGTTATTGCACAGCTTTGTACATTTGCATGATGTAAAACTTTCTTCATGACAGAAATAATTACCCTAACCACTGCACAAATGGTTTGTTTCAGGCTTGCAGCTGTGGCTCATTGGCAGCTGGCAGAGCTCTCGTCAGTGATTTGAGCACTGGAATACCTTCCCTGCATGTCCTTCTATTGCAAAGCCAGGTAAGTAACATATTGGTTGGCAAACTACACGTGAGCTCTTGCCCATAGTGAATTTGGAGCATCTTGTTCCATTGGTAAATGTCAATTCACATACATTTATATGAGATCACAGAATGTTGCTTGTAGAATTACATAAGGTTGTATCAGGTGCTGAGCTAATCTCATAAATTGTCGTCTTAGAAGTGTCAGATGTCAGGACAGTTTTATGATTGAGCCCAAACATGTTCCAATCTAACAAATTAGCATATCATAAAGGTTATTGTCCTATCACCCAATTAACAAACCCTGTATGGATAAAATAGAATTACTCCTCTGTCATCCTTTATCATCTGTCAGAGTTCCTGTGTTTTTAATGACCCTCGTTCTTTTCCACTTATACTTTAATATATTGGTAAAATGAAAATCTTCATATGTAGGTAGTACATTAAACAAAACATGATCCTAATGGTAAAAAGGCTGTGGTTTTTTCTCCTTATCTTGGAGACCACTGAGAAGAATTCAGCTGAATTACATTGAGATCGCTTTTCTATTTTGGGGCATGCTTTGATGTGTTCTGTTAACGTCAGGCAGCAATGTGAAGGCCTCTTTTTTTTTTATGTTTTGAGTGAGGCAGCTCATGTTTTTCCCCCTTCTGGTTTTGCAAAGCATTACTTAGGTTGCAAAGGATTTTGCTAGTTTTGTGCTAAGAAGCAACACAAATGGGGCACAGAGATCATGAAGAAAAGCCAATATGAGCCATTCCTATTTGAAAATGGGGAAAAGCAACCAGGAGTCAGGTGGGCAAGGCTCCAGACAGATGGTGTGACTGAAATGACACTTCAGCTGTGTTCATTTAGATAACTTGCATTGTGTCCAGAACATTTTCAGACTCTGCCACTCTGCACTGGGGGGATAGAAGGTGAATTGCTGTAATGGCCAGTGGCATAGTTTTACATTGTGTTTCATATTTGGACATACAGAAACCAAACCCAGGGCACAAGGGGAAAAGTAGTGGTGCCTGAATCATCACAACTTTGGTGCTTATAGATTAGCCTCAGACTAAAATCAGGGAGGTATATCAAAACTCAGCTTGCCACTGGAGATCTGCATCAGACACACTGCCAGCAGCCCAGGGAAGGAGGCACCCGGTTTCCCAGTGCCCACTAGATGGCAAAGCAAGGTGCTCTACTGAGACTGCTAAACACCTGCTTTACTTGTCTGCACCTCACACTGGCACGACACAGAGCGTGGCTGTGGCAGTATCAGAGCTGCAGATGCTGTAACTGAGCGGTCAAGACTGCTCATCCCTTTGGGATATTGGATGACGGCTCCTCTGCCTTCAGGAGGCAGAGGATTTAAATACTAAAGACTCTAATTTTCCTAGAAATTGGCATGAGGAATTGGAATTCAGTAGCATTGGGCTGTACTTGTCTATTGACTCAACAAATGCTAAGGGAAACATGTTTCTCTTATAGCTTATGTAAAACAGGAGGAGGAATGGCGTGTAACAAAGTGTATTGGTTTGAGACAATTTGTGTGTCTGGATGGAAAAATGCTATTTTATGGCTGCTGGACTAAAGTCACAGATGGTGGGAGAATTATGGTGCTCTTGGTCTCGGTTTAACATCACTCAGTTTGACATTCCTAGCTGGAGATAGGGTTTTTTCAGTCAGTGTAAGCAAACCCAGGGCTCACCCCTGAGCCCTTTGCACCCAACAGCCTCCCTTGCTTCCAGACCAAGGAGCGCTAGCTGTGTGCTAGGTCTCATCAGCTGGTGGACCTGGGTGAAAATGCAGCCCTGTTTTTGGCTGGGTTACCTCTCAGCCAGGAGCAGGAGCTGACCTGAGGCCCCAGGCAGTCACACGAGTGTAGGCACCAGTGCTGGGAAGTGCTAGTGTGAGCACCAGTGGGCGTAGCGAGCAAGGGGAGAAACTCTTCTGGAAATGGCAGCATCTTAGCTTGGTGGAGGACACCAAGCTGAAAGGTCTTCCCTTTCAGCTCAGGTTGCTCTGCTGCCTGCCTGTCCTTCCCCAGAGGCAGGCTTACCCTCACAGCTGAGCTCTGGCTCACTGGCTTTCCCTCAAGAGGAACATCTCTCCTAATGGGGACAGTTGGCTGGCTACCCTACCAGTGTTCTCGAATTTTCATTGTGTGGACATCTTGCCAGATACTCACAAACAACTTCCTTCTCCAGGCATGATCCAACAGTGTGCTGTATCCAACTGAAGCGACAGGGGAAATTCAGACACAATGCAATAAAGCAACTGGAATTTGTTTGTCATAAACCCCAAGGGCATGTTCTCATTAAAGCAATTAGTTGTATCCAGCAGTTATGTTCTTTCATGTTTGCATTACACCCTTTGAAACTGCCAGAGATTAGGGTCTGCTTTCAGGGTTGTCTCTGGGTCTCTGCTCGTAGACTGACAGGGAGAAAACTTTTCAGGCAGGGCTTGGAACAAAGAGCATTCCTTCACACAGCAGCTATTAATCTTACCCTTGTGGATGGTATGCTAACTTCATTCATGGACTGAAATCAGTCGTGGGGCAAAGGGGTGAGGAGAGATTATCTCTCACCTGACAGACAACGAACAGCACAGATATTGTGCAGCAGCAGGCAAAGCCACTAGTAGGAGATATAGGAAACATCCCTCTGCAAGTCAGCGCCACTTTCTGTAGGGCCCTCAGGTAGCTGGTTAGTTTAGTGTTGCTTCTGTACCATCACACAAATGCTTGACTAAGCAAATGCCTTTTTAGCATATGAAAGATGTAGCACATGGACCATGCTGGGCTAGCTGTCCGATGAGGGATTGCACAGAACCAAAAATTTCAAGAAACAGTAATAATCACAGCAACCACCATGGAGATCTGGGTGCTACCAGCATATAACCCCTCAGTGCCATTTCTGCTTAATTATCTCCAGGGAGTAGGAGTTACAAAAACCTACCATCTTTTTTAAGCATTCCCTGACTAAACTAATGTAGGAAGAACCTGGTATTCTAATTATCCCATATCCCACGGTTACTAAAGTGTAATTGCTCTACATCCTGCGTGAATTCAAGCATCTGAAGCTCATATCTAGTACTGCATCTATGTTCATTATCCTTTGGACACCCAAAGCTAAGGCAACACTGAGCATCAGATGCCTTTGCACACTGTGACTAAGCAATTACATCTGTTCTTGGCAGATACGTACCAACCCAGGATGCAAGTGTGAAATGCTTTCATAAGTGAAATAAACTTTAATTTTGAGAGCAGTAAAATTCTCACTCAATCAATAATCCTTATATGTGGTTAGATTAATTAATAGTATTTCTGAGTCAAACAAAACCACTGTTAAAGGATTAGCAAAGACAGGCCATTCTAGGCAGCATGTTTTCACTCACTGTGCTTTTAGAAATGCTGATGATGTTTTCAAATCTTTGCCTTTTCAGATGTGGCTTCTTAACACTGAATTTTTAATCAGACTTAGAAGGGAAAGAGGTGTTTTCTTCTTTCCTGCCCCATTTCTTTCTTTTAGAATTGTCTCGTGCAGAAGTGCTTGTTTAAACCCCACCTTTCTCAAACTGAAGAGACATCCTCATTGCTCTTTTGGACAGGTGCACTGTACATGGCCTAAGAGTAGGCTTTCTTCCGGTGGGCAGAGAGCTGGCTCTGGAGGCATTTTCTCCGGGAGAAAGGAGTGGGTCCTTTCTCTTTCTCAGCTGAACCCCTTGGTAGAAGACACAGATTTAGGGTGGCTTTCTAGAATCCTGCTGAAATCTACTAGTAACTGGACTGAGTTAGAAATAATATTTGCTACCAGGTTTGTAGTAGTAAACTGGTAAAGACATAAAAGTTAACCCCAAAGAGGGGTGGATTGGGTCAAATGCTTGACCAAGACTGGGGAGATAAGACCCAAATTCCTGCTAACTTTGGTGGTTTGCATTTAAAGAGATAGATAGATAGATAGATGGATAGATAGATGGATAGACAGATAGATAGTCAGACACATGCACACATTAATACATCCACACAAGTGTAGAGGACCAACCTAAGCATGTTTTGTCTCAAACATTCTGAGCATTGCTACAGGGAAGGTGATCAGAGGAGAGGGTCCCGTGGATGAGGGGCAGAGCTGTTCTGAGACAACTTCCTGCTCCACTTTGAGACTCATGCTCAGTATTCCCCTAGCTCCCTTCCTGGAGAAGGGATGACTGGGCATGCATGAAAAAAAAGGGCACAGAAAATCTAGTTTACATAAGAGGCGTGCACCAGGTCAGCTATAAAAGGACCTCTTCCCTCTCTCTTTTTCCTCTCTTTCTCTTTCACTCTCATGGTTTATCTGAGCTCTGGACCATCCATGAGGCAGGACCAACACGAGACCTAAGGACTGATGGTATTCTTTATTTTCTTCTATTGTTTTGCTTGGGCAAAGCTCAGCTATCATATTCTACTCTATACTCCATACTGGAATTTATTGTGGGAGTGGGGACCTTGTAGAGGTGTGTTGTGGCTTGTTAGCCAGCACCTTTGAGAAATGGTATGTTGTGTCCTGTGAGTCAGCACCTTCATGTAATGGTGTGTTGTGGCTTGTGTGTCAGCACTTGGATTGTGTGTTGCAACTTGTGAGCCAGCACCTTTGAGGAGTTTGTTGTGGGAGTTGAGAACTTATTGAAGTGTACTGTACAAAATTGAGGGCTTGTTAGCCAATATCTTTTGTGGAAGTGAATTGTAAGAATTTAAGTTCTTGTTAGCCAACACCTTTTTAGTCTAAACAGGGGGCTGGTTGCTGGAGTTATGGAAACTGTACAATGAAAGTATAAGAGTTCCTGACACATGGTCTGGTGCCTTTGTTCAACTTGATGAGAATTTATAATGAACATCATGCCCAGTACCGATGGGTTGTGACAAGAGCATATTGAAAATATACTGCCTCTGCCATGTTAAGAGTATAGCAATCTGTATCAGGGACTCCCTCCACATGTTGACACAGACCCAGCACAGGAAGCTGAAAAGTCAGGTGGGACCTCTGGACTCTCACAGCAATGCAAATATCAAACATAAGCCATTGCTTAACCAACATTTTTCACTTACAAGGGGTGAAGTGTCAGCATGTGAAACTCAAGCAGACAGGTCCTTAAAACTGTTGATCTTATAGGAGAGAGAAGTATTAGATGCGGAGACGATTGCAACAGTGGAAGCAAACACTTGCCCTGTGAATTCGTATGAACTATATTTAGAATTTGAATCCAAGCATAATTAAACAGTGCTAATGAGACAGAGGGAGTTATCTTCATTTGGTGTATAATTCATGTCACTGATTTCCTCATTCATTTTTTCCTAGTTTTAAAGCCTTCTTGTTCTAGTGAGATTAGAGGGTAAAAGATACCCTGCAGAGAGAAAGTATGTGGCCTGGAGCTAAAATTCAGTTGGAAGCCTTTTAAGGGATGCTGCTTTCTTGATAGCATCAATAACTGACAGCAAAGACACCTGTGAATATGTAGCCAACAGTCAAGCAAGGCACTCTTTTTGCAGTGTACCCTTGAAAAAATGCACACAATATTACAAAGACTATAATGGGGAAGAAAAGTCCACCCTTTCCAGTGAGGGAAACAAAACACTGTAAGAGTTTTAATAGTTGTAGGTATATAATCCACCTTTATCAACTAAAGTTTGAATTCCTTCTCAAGAATATGCTCCAACTCATCCAGGAATGTGAAGCTTCCATAGGAACTCAAGGTGACATTTTATGGTGGGCAGGTCTGGGTGAAAGATGGTAATGATCTTGCCCAACTTAAGCAGCTCTGAGCCCATAACCAGAGCAGCAGCTTCTGTTACAGCTCTGTGCCAATAGCTGATTATATTGCTGAGCAGAGGACAACAGCTACCTGTAGCTGCAGGGGCTGGACACTTTCTTTGACCTAGTCAAAGCCAGTAAAGAAGTGCAATAGGCAAAGTCAAGTCACCAAAGTCCCATTTTTGCTTTTCAGTTGTGTCTTTGGTTGGACTCAGGCTCCTTTTTATTATGCCTTAAATAGATACAATTTTTTGGAGGTTTTATTCTACATCTGTTGCTGCAAACAGCAGCAAAATCAACTGTTTCCTGAGAGGTGGCACAGTACTGACTATGACTGTACATTTCAGTGCTGCCATGCATGCCAGGGTGCTTGTGCTTATTGGCTCACAAGAGTGCTCAGAAGCATCATTCACTCAAGACTTTGCTGTGCATCACATCCTAGTGGAAGTGCTTGCAGCCAGCTGGAATCTGTTCTCAATGACTGCCTGTAAAGATTCTCCAAACCCTGCTCCCTCCAAAGTGACCACCACTAACCAAATGCTTGTCCACCCACTGAGCCAAGCCAGTTCAAAGAGGAGCATTACAGTGTCTGTGAGCAAGCTCTGCTGGATATGAAGAGGATAGAGTGAGATGAATCCCACAAAACAGCAAATGTTTTTCATCTTATTCCAGTAATTCAGCACAGGCTTATTCTTTGGGTTGCTAAACCCAAGACTTTGTTTTGTCCTTTTCTGGAAGGGGATTTGAACACTTTCCTGCTAAGACTGCTATGCAGATTAATCTGAGACAGAGGAATTATTATACATATTTGGTCTCAAATTCCCTTTAAACAATTTCATTGGACCACTATGACTATATCACTCTCTGTAAATACCCTTCACTCTTTTGGAGGCTCTCTTGACCACTTAGAGCCCTGTTGCTGTTCCATAAGGTGAGATTTGCAGCTGTCCTTCCCATTCATCACTGCTTAGCTGAGCTGTTCAGTCAGCCCTCTGGCTACTCATTCATAGTCAATAATATTGGGTTTAAGTTTCCAGCGGAACAGATCGTTTTAGAAGTTGTTCTGCACCCCAAAAAATATCTTCATCTGCTTATATATTTCACAGAATGGCATGTCTGCTCTTGCTGCTTTTTCACAGTAATAGTCCAGGTGTTCAAGCTCTTAACGCTGCCTTGTGGTTGAACAGCAATGAGAAACACCATTGGTAACCAGAGCTGAGAGCAGCAGCAAGTAGAGCCACTCTACTTATGAACAGTCCAGAGCCACAACTTGTCCCTTGAGCCCAGCTGAAAAGGTGCCCTTTTGCAAAAGGAGGATTTCTTTCTGCCTGAGCTGTGAAACAGAAGTCCTGACTGGCTACAGCCATAAAAAAATCCCCTGGCTCCCAAACTATCAGTGACTGAAGTCTTATCAAATTTGAGAAGTCTTATCACTGCTTTCTGCTGCTTGAAACATATTTTTTAATTATATTCCTTTTTAACCATCTTAGCTTAACTGCTGAGGAGTCCCACTGTCAGGATTAAACAGATGTTTTATTTCCTGCCAAAGGTGGGTAAAATAATAATCACCAGCTCTGCCTCATTGGCTGCCATGTGGTCTGGAAAGGTGCCATATGCCCAGCACTCAGAGACTGCTGCAGGCAGGAGGCTGGGGGCATTATTTATTATTTGCCTAATCAATTTACATACTATCTTTCTTTCAGAAAGTACATTTCTGGTCTTTATAAGGAGTAATGTAGAGGACTCATCAAGCACCCTCCTCTAGTGAAGTGTACCTTCTGTTTAAACAGCCAGTATTCCGCTTGCACAGCACATGGGGCTAGAAGCAAAGACCTTGCACTTGAAACTGCACTGTGCTCATGAGCTGCTCTCAGCATCGCAATCAGTTGTAGAGGTTGTTCAAATTCAGCCCCGTATGCAATAGCAAGTTTTCTATTAATACTTTTGAAGAATTTCCTTGAGGAGAGTGTGGTACCTCTCCTCCAGCATGCAAATGGTGTGAGCACAAGCAAGCTGCTCATTGCTAACCTGCCTCTCAAAAACTGCTGCTGCACCTTCACAGTGACAGGATGTGGTATCTCAGGTGTCAGGCCTGGGGCAGTGTCTCCCACTGGCTGACTTGTGATCCTCTCTGCAGCCAGCCCTCATGTTTTACAGGAGCTGCAGGGCTCTGAGGTGAGCACCGGCTGCAGCTGAAGGGCAGAGTGACCAGGCTGTGCAGAGCATTCCAGGCAGTGCATGTGGGTGGTGACTTGCTCTCCTTTCTTGGAAAGTCAGAGGAGAAGTAGTTCAAAAAGCATGGGCACTCATCATGTGAGGATGGCAAATGAGGAATCCTAGGCAAGAGGTGACAGTAGGACCCCTCTGCTCTGTGGAATAGCCAAGCGGAGTGCCAAATGCAGTGATTAGTAAGAAGAAAGCCATCTGGGTTCTATCCTTTAAACAGCTTTCTTTCAGCATCTCTCTTCCTATACACCACAAGAAATATCCCTGTGTTTTTAGCAACCCTTTCTAGCCTTTCTGAATCATACTACAAGGCCCCATCTACAAATGACAGGGAGAGTAAGGTGAAGAGAGAAAAAAGGGAAGAAGATGATATAGTGGGCAAGAATCCGAGATGCCTTCAGGCCTTATCTTGAAATATTACCTCTGTAGCGCCAGTTATGGCAGCAACCACCAAGGCAGCAAGTCCTTTAGATCTGGAGCTGGTAATGTACTTGTTGAGGGATGGTGTTGAGTTTTCAGAGGCAGAAGTCTGTAGGCTGACAGGTAGGCATTGCGAGGACAGGAGTAAAGGCTGATGCAAGCACTTCTGAAAATTGATGAGAGACTGGGGAGCAGACTATAATGAACTCCAGCAGTGGGCATCTGCAGGTAAGGAGGCACGAGCACGCTTCCGTATGAGTGATGTATGGCAGTTTCCAAGGAGCATTTGAAAAATATTTGGTTCAGTTCCTCAAAGTTCTTAATATTTCACCCTGAATTTGTCAGTCTTTCTATCCCTTTATGATGTGTACTTTTAGGCTAAAAATATTCAGAAGCACAATGCAATCCATAAATACATCATTTTTGTTACTTTTTTTGTAGTTAGGAATGAAAATGGCCAAGAACTGGGTTAGGAACAGTAAGTTCCTTTTCATTATTAAACAGTTAGTGCCCAGAGAGCAAGTGTGGTTTTGGGTTGTGGGGTTTTTTTGTCTTCTCTCTGAATAGGTGTTACTGGTAAAATGAGTAAGAAATCTGTTTCAAATAAAAATGTAACCTTGGAAAAAAAGGCAACTTTTTCACAAAGTCATTAATTTCCAGTGCCCAGCATGTTATTTGGCAATGCACAGATTTCCAGTTGGTTTCTATTTTCTTAGAAGTTGTGGTTGCTCTCTTAAAGGATTTTACCCAAGTACTGTTATATGTAACAAAAACGTATCCTATTGTCAGACTTCTGAGCCTTAGTAAAGCAGTGTCACTGCCTAGGACCATGCTTGTTCTGTTTCCTGTTTCATGTGAACACATATTTACCTGAGGGAATAAACAGGATTGTGAAATAGCTTCTCATATCTTTTCTTACAGTTCTTTTAGCATCATAGCTGATAAAACTTGACTGATGCCTAGTAACTGTTAATACCAAGCTTTTATTTGTAAAAATTGCAACTTCTGTTTACAAGTTCTAATGTTTCTTGAAGAAGTTGCACTATTCCTCTGATCTAGCTTCAGTTCCCAGATTCTTTCCTTAATTTGTGTAAACACTAGCATGCGCACAGCTCCAAGCCCACAAAAGAGGTACTTAGAAACACCAGGATGGGAAGTTTAAAATCTTCAGTTTGTTTTTAAATATTATTTTGAAGACTTGCTAAACAAATTTCAGGGAAAGTCAGCTTGAAAGATAAGAGTGAGATTTGTAGCAGGATGGTCACTGCTAAGTCTTAGCTACTGAATTGTCTGTATTCTCTCTCTGTACAGTACCAACAACTGGAAACTACTTCTCTTATGCAGGTGAAAATGTAGCGGTGTTTGCCAACAATTTGCTATTTGTGTCTCTCATTCATTTAGGAGCAAGAACACCGAGATGAACCGTTTGTTCATAAAAGCTGCCAGCAGAGGATGTGGCTGATGAACTGTGAGGGCTGGGAAGAGATGTATCCAGGGAGCAGGGCCTGGGCAGTGCTATGTCCTTTCTGCACACGAGAAGGTCCAGACGAGTCGACTCTCAGTGAGACCCATTACATCCAGTGCCCCTGATCAAACCAAAGCCCATAGCTCTGCATTGCTTTTGCTAATACTATAATCATCCATTGCAGGCTTTTCTTACATAACTAGCAAGTCTATGTTGACTACAGGCTTTGCAGCTTGAATTCACTCATGCTTCCTATTTTTTTAGCTTCTGTTGGAGTTTCACAGCTCACCTAACCTGCAAGGGCCACGAACAAAGTACGTGAATATGCACCACTTGCTGGCAGAACAAACAATCCTCTCAGACAACAGGATTGTTATTAAAACGGGTTGTTTTGTTGGCAGAATAGGCTTTCCCTGTTGCCAGGGGTTGCCCAAGGTGAGCCTGACCTCTGTGGTCTCTGAAGCTCTCTCTTGTGGGTGAGCTGAGCAATGCTGGAATGCAGCATTTAAGATGGATTAACTGTGAACTTAAGACAGGAAACAGTTCAGAGAGAGTAAAAGTATTACACTGCAGAACTAAGGATGAAACATAACTTTTGATCCCATAGGACACAAGTTCCAAGGCTGAGAACATGATTATTTGATAAGAGTCACAGTCATCTTGTCAGTGCAAGTAATGTTTGCAGCCTCCTCTTAAGGAAGAATTTTGCCTTTCCAGGTGCAAGGAAGGGCAGTGGAGAGGCAGGCATGTGGCCAGTGGAAGAGATGTGTCTGCATTCTCCCACTGTGAGGGGAGTAACAAAACCATGGACCCTACCTCACCCTTTCCACCCAGAGCAGGTCCCCACATGCCAGGTCTCTCGCCTTTGAACTCTTAAAGTCTTGATGCAGTTTCACATGCATCGTAGCACAAACCCTGCACTTTGGTACTAACTTCAGCTGAAATCAGTTGCACAGACCGGTCCTAAGAAACACCAGTCATCCACCCAAGTGAAATTCTGAATTGCTGGCCGCACCCTGGCAACATAATGTATTCATACGGCCTAAGGATCAACATGAATTGGGGTTTCTGGAAAAGGATATATCTGTTCCTTGCTCAGCTCACTAGCTCTCTATCCACTATCCGCAAATCTCTTTGATACTCTGTAAAATGGCAGATTACTACCCTTTAACTCTTTCACCAGGGCTGCAGGGCCAAACTGCTAGAGATTCACCTGAGCTACATGGAGTTTTCTGTTTGATTGAGGTAAGTGGTTTGTTTGGTTTCGGGGCTTTTTGACATTAGTATTGCACCTTAAATATTCCACTTAAAAACTGTGCTATGGCAGGTGTTGGCTCTCTGTTACACTGCAGCTAAAAACCCAGTTTCTACCACAGATGTTACAGGCAAATCAGTTTGAAGATTTTTGTTTCCTGAGCTAAACTACCATTTATTAGCTAGAGTTATTACTAGAAGGCACAGCACAGCGCATGACACTGTGCTGGGCTGCACAAATATGTATTAAGCCCTGGACTACCATGAAGAATGTACAGAGTAGGATTACAAGCATGACTTAGTTATGAACTACAGACACTTAAAAATGAAGAAACACTTTTGCAGTCTGATTCTTGCCTACCATTACAGGATTCAAATCTAAAATGCAACAGATTCTAGGTGTCTGAGTCAAAATGAAGAACCAAAACCTCTGAGCTTGGTGCCCATGAGGCCTCCATGTTATGGAGTGATTGTGAATACATTTATGTGACTAGTACAGACAAAGCCTTATATAATTGAGGAAAACAGAGCTCTACCCTCAAACATCCTTGATCCTTATCCTGCCCCCTTCAACTTAATTTGATAATCAGCACTTACATCACAGAGAGTTTGGAAATATTATCCACGCCTCTCCTTTAGCATTACACTATGTCAAACGAGTCCCTGCTTGTAAAGATCTGCTTTCTTCAGAACTTTCACCCAGCCCCATGATTAGCTTGGCTTAAGTCAGCAAACACTCAGCAAAACTGGAACTTGGAAACAGCTTAAGCTCAGCCCCTTTCTGCCTTCAGATCCATTGGTTTTACAGTTCTCAAGCATCATCATTCAGCATCCAGCTGGCATCCATTTGACTACAGTTGCTGCAGGAGGAGTGGGAACCAACCACCATTGTTGCTGAGTTTTATCCTGTAAATTCAGCCAAAAGAAACTGGTGCACGCCATCTCGTGGCCCTGCACAGCTACTTCCCGGGAACGAATTGAGCTCCAACTGTGACAGGGAGGTTTAATGTGAACAGGATTTAAAAGATGGCTGTCAGCGGCTCAGAAAGAGCCCACTATATGACCATAGCTATGAAATTTCCACCATTAGCACTTTGTCCACACTCCTGCCATGACCTTGCAGCCTGAGCAGCTGTTTCCCGGAGCAGCAGCAGAGCATCAAGCTGCAAAATGCACCTCTTCCACATGTGCTCACACACTGTTGAGACAGCCCTCCCCTCACAACAAATACAGTGAACAGCACAGCCCCAGAGCAGCCTTTGGTGGAGCAGGAAATTACCTTATGCATTTCAGAGTAGGTCATACACTTTAATCATTCTTGATTACATGCAAGGTTGGGGATGTTCATGGTACATCTGTCTTCATCTGCTCTCAGTACTTGTTAAAGAACTCTATGTGTCAATGCTTTAAATAAAGCTAATGTGTCTCTTTGTAACTGTTCATTAACAGCTGGATACATGAACTCATGGAAACATCAGCTGTCAGTCCCTTGGTGTATCTTAAGTTCCTATTCCTTCTTACCCCCTTTTTTTTTTTTTTTTTTGAGAAAAACAAGTCATTAAGAGACCCTTGCCAGAAGTGATTAAGGTATGATTTCATCTAGTTGAGGGAATTAAAAAACCAGGGACAGAGTTCAATTGTGTGAATTTAAGGTCTTTGCTTCTATTTTAAGTAGTAAGTTTCTGATTTAACAATGTTTATGACTTTTCAGATGGGAGATTGCATCTTAAATCTGCACCATTAAATCATCACCAAATTTGAAGTCACATTACCTTTAGCAGAATTGCTGATGGCAACACTTAAACACTGTCTCACTTCCACTGCTCTCACAGCTATCAAAAGGCTGGATATATAGTCAGCAACAACGGGACTTAAAATAGCTACAGAAGGGGCAAAACTTCAGACTAAGCATCTTATTTTGCCTGCTACTAGAGACAACTGCGCAAGACCTATGAAAGTTTGCAGCTTGCTGTTGGAAAGCACAGAATCATACCAGATAACTTCAGATGCTACTCCAGAGGACACTGTGCCATACTGTAAGAACAAAACCAACTACCCAAGGATTATAGTTCAAAGCATCTGATTACAACCAGCAATTGTTCTAAATATGCTGTGTGATGAAAATTCTATTTTTACTGTTCTTGGGTTGGAAGTGTGTAACCATGTTGCAGAAAAGACTGTTAGACCTGTGAGGCTCAATGAAGCCTGATACTAACACCGTTGCTCTGTATAGAGGAAAGAAAAGAGGGAACATCCTTCTTCTCATGTTGAGGTTTAATTCTAAGGTATGTGACACTGGATTTACAAAGGTAAATAAAAATACATTCTGAGAAATAGCGAGTGCCCTATTTAGCAAGGCAGAAGGATTTCACACTTCAAGCAGCTGAGAAACTAAACTGCTCACAGTATGAAAAAAATATTTAGGGTCTGTCTTTGACACATGATTTTGCCATAACAGGTGATGAGGAATGTGCAGTAGTGGGGCAGAAGAAAGACAAATACTTAAGTGATAAAGATGAGACAGGACAACAGGTATTAGATAAGGCTTCCACTCGAATTAATTGAGACGCTATTACTATGATCAGCAGTCAGATGGAACTACTATTCCAAACACTGATCAGGCAAACTACATTGCCGAAATGAATTACACAGCTGTTGAGACAGGCTTTAGCTCCAGCCTGATGATGATATGGCTAAGTTAGCATATGCTTGTAGCAAACACATATAAATGAAATCCCAGTAATATAAAAGGACTGGAGTGGTACAGAAAGTTTTCCACATTAACTGTACCCAATACCAGAAGCAAAGGCTACCACCTGGAGTACAGTGCACACAACAGTTTCTACAAGTGTATCATCTACAGTTATTCTACAACTTTCATCCTAAATTTCAATTTAAAAAGCCAAGTATGAATCACATGCAGGCAGATTTCATGACTCATTACTGCAATGGATTTAACCACAAGTGCTGATCCTGCCTGCCATTAAGATGTCTGGCATTCCATCTTGGACCCATTCCTCTGGAGGGGAGCCCTTTCACAGATCTGTGCTACAGAGAGCTGAGCTAAAAACAGTTAAATGAGACTTCAGGAATTTAAAAAAAAATGTGATATTTTGTCACACAAAGAATAAAATTCCAGGAATTTATTGCTGTATGTATGCTTAATCCATTAATTCATCTTACAGTAGTCATGAAGTGCCTACTGTGTGCTACATTTAACATTCCATGTATTCCCTTCCAAATGCCATTTTACAGTGGGCATATGAAACAACGCAGCAGCAGTCACAAAACATGGCTTAAGCATCTCTCAGGTGCTTAAAGACAAAAATTTGTGTACAAGCTGAATAACGAGATGTCAGTTAACAGGTCACTCAGCAACTTTAATAGAAATATCTTTAGGTGGAAGTTTTGCAGCGTTAAAATTTACAACTCAGACTAAACATTCTCATCCCACTGTAGTAACGAGATATTTGCAAAGAACAAGAACTATGGTACGTAAATGTCACACGCAAGACCCGCTTCATTTCTATCAGAAGCAAAAATTGCTAATTATAAGGAAGGACAAGCCTAGCAGGATAAGGCTGTCAGCCTATAATAAAAACATAAACCTCCGAGTTTGGCAGTGGAATTCTATTTACCACCTTGACTTTTTTTTTTTTTTGGTAACATACAAGTACTCTTCCTCCCCTCCCACGCTTTATAAATCCCCTTTTATTTTTATTATACCTCCATATTATTTACAGGACTCCTAAAGATTAAGTACAAACTAGTATGAAATTAATGACAGCTTGCTTTTCAAATATGTATCCCATGGCTAAATAAATACCAAGCCAATCCAACAGAGTGATCTGGAGTTACGATTCAGAAGCTTGTGCATCTGTGACTCCAGTTGTTTTCTCATTAGCTGTGGAGGATTCATTTGATCTGTCAACAATAGTTGCCATAGACGTTGGAGCAGCGCTATCCAAGGTGAGCGTAGAGGTCTGTTCTACATTTACAGTAGTGCCAGGGTTGATGAAAAAGCTTCCGGCTTGACTGATAGAGGGAAGCAAATCTGTAGGCACTGCAGATGCCTCTGTGACCAAAGGAAGCACCGGGACACACTTGGGTGGCATTGCTGGAGGTGTCATTCCCATTAGATTCAGAGGCGGCAAGGAAGGAAGGGGTGGCAAACCTAAAAAGAAAAAGAGAGGGAAAAAAGGGCAGTGAGCTGCTGCATATCACAGACAGATCCGGAGAGACTCTCTGTTTGCTTAAAAATTTTACGTTCTCTAGTCTCCTATTTACCTGTGAAGAGGAGAAAGTTTTTTGAACTTAGCATGAGCATGATATGTGTGCAGCACTGACCCAGCAGGCTCGTTTCAAGCCTGATACTTTTCACATTTCAGAACTGAAAAAACAGAGTAAATTCAACATTGCTTGTACCTCCCCAGAGGACTAGGTATTTAATGCATAAATACTGATGATTAGGTTTTTCTGGCCTTCACTGAAACTGCCAGAAACAAGAAGTTAACAAGAACCACATTCCATATAAGCTTCCAATTTCTTTTTGCTTGCTCCATGTGCACCTTCAGCAGTTTTGTTTTACTCAAAACCATAAATTTAGTATTAGTTCATACTTCTGGCATTCAGTCAGGGAGCTCTCATCTCTGCATCTAGCATACAAGGAAACACTTCATCTTTTCTTCTACCCATAAAATGATATACTTTCACTCTTGGCACAGTAAATCAGGTAATAGAAAATGAAACATCTAAATACAGACACAAGTTTAGAATCAGTTTATCTAAAGACATATTCCTTGTCTACCTAATCTGGGCACTAACATTTAATTTATCCCCTTCAGGACTCTCCCAGATGGCTCTAAATTAGAGTCTCAGGGATGAAGGACACTCTAATTAGTGTTTCAGTTTGCAGAAGTACATACCAGGCTGTATGATTTCTGGAACAATCTGTGGTGCAGGTAAATTAAGTTTGGACAGATCAGCCAGGTTAGGAAGCCCTGTTAGTAATGGCATCAGACCTAAGAAGAGTAGAAAAGTTACAGCTGAAAACTTAAAATTGTTTCTGAGATCTTACTGATAATTTTAAACTTATTATATATTGCTTTACATCTTGATTATCATTTTTACACATAAGGATGCAAATTCACCTGAATTTCAGTTTTTAAGCTGCACAGTGAAAACAGATATCTATTGCAGAAAGTCTGGACTAGAAAATACATAATCCAAAATCTTTCATATTTTTTCTGAGGAAAGTAGATTCTTATTTCAAGGAATCAGAAGGTTTCCATTCCAGGTTCCGCTTCCAATAAAGGTAGTTGTTTCTCCACAGCACTGTACCAGAAGCCCTCCATTTCCAATTTGAATGGCAGACAATAATAATAGCATTAAATACACAGTATTCCCTGATCCTTAATATTGATTACTTTATTATTAGTTTTTTCTACTTAGTTCATAACTAGAGTTAAACACAAAAATATACGTAAAAAGGCAAGACAAAGTAACTTTCAACGTCAGGAAGCACTGAAAGTAGAAGAGAAACATATGATGAATGCAACACATGCCCTTCCATCATTGTGTTTGCTATGGAACATCTTTCTTCTCCTGAATTTCCCATCTTAGAAGAGCTGCATTTCTGGGACAAGGGCTCTATTCTTACTTTGCGTTTAGTTCAAAGAAGGCTAGTTCAGAAATAAACTGTTGGTACCACAGTGTTAAGACAGAGAGGAGAAAAGCCTTAAAGCAAGGGCACTGTACAGAGATTTTGATTAAATCCCAGCCACTTCACCTATCCATGAATTCATTAGCCATGAAGGCTGACAATCTGACTCGGAACCTTCAGCTCAGCTACAAGCAACTTTGAGCTTTTTTTAAAATCTGAAAAAAACTGAACTTCATACGAATTCACTCAAATTTTAAACCTCTTATGTATTTACATGTCCATGCAAATGACAAGATATGTTCTAATTTGCTTTCAAAAAAGCAGTGATACTATTCAGAGAAAAAGGTGAAAGAAAAACTTGGATTTGCCGATTTTAGGGAAGGGGTGGATAGGTGGCCAGGGAAGAAAATCTTTATCTGCTTAGAGAAAATAGCAAACAACTACAAAGTTCAGCTTCTGGTAAAGTTCTCTGCCCTTGTTTGGATGCACTGAGCTCTACTACCTGTCTTTTCTATGTTAGAGAATGTACCCGCAAGCATTTCTTAAAACTTTTGGACACATCTTTATCTACTTGTCTCATAGCATGCAAAACATAAAACACCACTCCTTTAGTGTTCTGGAATGCACAACTGAGTCCTATACCAGCACACCAATGACACAGCAAAATCCTATACAATCCTTATTTTACCCACTGTAAATAATTCTGGGATACTAATGCTTGAAATGTTCATGATTATCAGGAAACAATCATTTTGTAGACACACTCTTACTTTCATTATACCAGTTTAAATTACTATATAATTCAGAAACAGTAATGGCAACATAAATTCTCTATTGTTAGCCCTTTATTTTTATTAGGAAGAGCAACCAAGCTGAGTATTAAAACACAGTTTCCTAAAATGGAGATTTTATGGGTGAAGGGAATGCAGCATTAGGCAAGACAAACCTTCTCAGACCTCTGATGTCTGGGTGCAAAGGACACACTGAAAACTGCATTTATTTGCAGAAGTATTTTGCAACATAAAATTTATGAACTACAGAAAGTAACAATATATCAACTCAAATGTTGCAAATAGCAAAGCAAAATCTTCCTGAGAAATCCGGAATGCTGCATCAACTGTGCAGGAGGCCTAAAAGGTAAACATTGTAAACTTTGTTGCCAAGTCAGTCCTCTGTGCTACAGACATGCTGTGAATATACTGTAACAAAAATAATTCTTCACATTGTAGAGGTTGTATAGAGATCTTTAACATGAAATATGTAAGTTGTATAAAGTTATACCTTCCCCAAAAAGCAGTGGAAAAGACAGCTCTCTTAAAATTTTTGTTTCAGAAATGTTTAAAGAAATTTTACCTACTCACCTGGTAATGTAGTAGCTGGGTTAACTGGTGGCACACAGGTAGGGGACTGACTGACTTGTGGTGGTAATAATGGAACTGTTGGAACACCTGGTGGAGCACACAGGGAAACAACATTAATTTTAAG